GATGTTGGTGATGGAAGTGCTTTAAAAGAACCGGTAAGAAATATTGCAAATGATGCAGATGAAGCTATGATGAGATTTCGGGAAGGGAAAGTTTGATTCTCCCAAATGTACAGACTGGAGTGACCCAGAATTGAATGAATACTCTCGGAGATTTTACTGAATATATTATTAATCATCATTAACAATACAACATACGTTGTGCAAACCCCAAACTCATGAAGTTATACAAATTCTGGCAATACAGAAAAAACATTGAATTAGCACAACCTAATAGAACATCACATTTTGACTATTAAACCCAACCTTATCAAATTGCAAATCTGAAACTGGTTTCTCATAAACATGAACTGTCTGCACAGTGACAATTATGAATTGATAATAATGTAAACAACTGAATATTAAATAGGTATAATGGACAAATAATAGCATAATAGCACGTGCTCAGTTGAAAATCCACAATTCGATGACACCAAATTCAAATTTCAAAATATGCAATAAACACTATGTCACACATCAATTATGATAAGAAACGTTTTAATAATGTACCTGAAGAGTGGATCTCCTTAGTATTAATTACAAAAATATGCTATATACTATATTAAACTCAATGTCAATGTTAAACTTGATGTGTGTATTTCTGCAGAATGAGGCTTAGAAAAGAAATGGCTGAGGAAAAATTACTAGGGAGCATTTATTAAACATAAAAATATAGGGAGAGGCTTATTGTATCAACTTTACCCGCATAATAGCTGGAACGATTATTCTATTCAAGCCACAGACCTAAGGTGGAACAGATACTTTCTTTAGAAATTTGGATCAAGGCTCCTGATACTGGGTTTTCTTCAGATTCTGAAATTAGAAAAAATAACCAATGGGCGAGAAGTATAGTATTTGTTATGTTCTGATTGTTTTTAGTTTACTATGAACAATATTATCATTTAAGTTCTTATTTATTAAATATGCAACTATCATTTTCTGCTTATAGACATTGGGGAATTTCTCTTAAAGTCTCTTTAGTGGGCATGAACTATCTTACTTGCTCGATTGCTGGTTGTATTGAACGGGACAACAAAGGGTGCTATGCCTAGATTATGGTGAATATTTAGTCCTATAGGTCTTGATGTATTCAATTGCTCAATCCAATGGGCTTCCCTAGTGTTGTGGGTCAGAAACACCCATAAAGGACACCAGCAAAATCAAAAACTCGGTTAGGTAAGTATACAATAACTTAATAACACTTAACAATGAATGTACTTTCTTTAAAAGACAATTGAACATAAAGCATGTTAACTTACAATTATCCACAAATAATGTTCAAAACCAAACTGAGATTCTTCAATAGTAGTATATGAGCTTATAGATTGTTCACACCCCCCCCCCCCCCCCCATTCCATTTCATTCCATTGGGGAAAAGTCTATAAGCTCCCAAAAAGACCTCCATGCCCTAAATTCACACCTTTTCAGACCTATATACGCTACATTTCATCATCAGATTAACTCATTTAAAAATAGGATGAGTTTCATTTTAAAACACGAACAAGAAAGATTTAAAGGAGATGGTTTCATCTCAGCACTAACTTCTCTAATTCCATAAGTAGCTATCTTTGTTTCAAACAACAAATCACTTATTTCATCCGGGCCAAGGCTATCGGTTCTATCGTAAAAGCAGGAGTTAGTATGAGCTACACATTCAGACATCAGATATTGTAGCAGGTTGACCCCCGTGTACAAGGCTTTTCTGACGGACGATCTCAGTGGGAGGAATGCAGACAATGATTCATCTTTGGATATCTTTATATTCTAATTTTGTATCCTATTTTTCTGTCTCTCTAATACATGGACATTAGTATAACATAGTTGTATAACAATATTTTAAATAATCAAACAAGGTAACGTTGGTTCCTCCACGGTTATTTACAGGTTAATTTGGTGAATGGTGGGAGATAATCTGTCAGGAATTTACAAAGGCATTGTCATTTGATCAAGCTCATTTGTTAGGATGCGGCTTGTTAAAATAACATTGTCAGGAAATAGTTCGTGGGAAAATTACTTTCGGCTTTTTATAACCTTGAGAGGAGCCGATTAGCCGATTTTCCTGACAGGTACTACGTTTTCCTGACAAGTAGAATTTTCCTGACAAGCAAACTTTAAAGTTACAATTAAAATGAAATCAATTTATGTTATGCCATTAAGGGCTTCCTAAGACTTTTAGAATGTACAATAATAAATTTAGTGTTTTAGCCTTAGTGGTTATCCTAGGTCAGCGTAAAACCAGAGTGCAACAATCCTTACACATACAAAACATAGTGCACATCTTAGTTACCAAGAAGCAACGTTACTTCTGACTTAATTATTATTTACAATGTACCATGTGGACGAACCTTACTAATTATAACAATAAAATGTCATATAAATATTAATGAAAACAATAATCCCCCCATTTACGAATATCAACAAGAAATCCACCCGCATACGACGACAATGAAAATGGCTGCCGCCATGAACAGTTCCAACTTGACGTTACGTTATTATAACTTAAATGCATAACAGGATTAACACATCTACTATAAGCCCAGATCTACCCACCCGTAAAAGGATGCGGCACAAGGGAGTCTAAATCAAGGTAGAAACAACATTTTAAACAATGCAACAAGCACATGCATTCGACTTGTCAGTAGCCTAACCTAACGATCGTTAGTAAACAATAAAATAAAAAACAAATAGCTATCGGCCCAAGCTACATTAGTGTATTTCATGCACAGCTTAATTCTGCAACCATTCTGTTTCAAGAATAAATTAATACGATTTATGCATGACGTCGTATTTATAACATCTCCCCCCTTCCCCCCAATATGACAATATGGATAACAACACTCCCCTCCCCCCAATACATGACACGCATCTTAAAGATACAAATTCTCCGGAATTTACTGGAATACTGGTCTCCAAATGTTGAATTATATCTTCATTCTTCTCATTTCAGGTCAGCATCAACTTCTCTGGTACTTGGTGTGGGTATGAGCTGCTGGTGCTGATTGTTCTCTTGGCATTTCCACTATTTTTATTTTGTAGGTGTATTTCCAGATGAAGTACTATGTTTATGTTTCAATAAATGCTTAACACATTTTAACACACAGAAAGTTCTATCACATTTCTTGTATAATGTTCATAGCTAGGTTTGTCTTCTCTTGGGAATGCAGGTAACTTCATAGAGCAGATCGTTCAGCAGGTCATGGTGATAGTTGGGTGATCGTGATGATGATAGTAATGACTTAACCCTACTTTAGTTGTTTGCCATTGAGTGATGATGTTAGTAATGACTTAACCATACTTCAGTTGTTTACCATAGAGTGATGATGAGAGTAGTGACTTAACCATTCTTCAGTTGTTTACCATAGAGTGATGATGATAGTAATGACTTAACCATACTTCAGTTGTTTACCATAGAGTGATAGTGATGACTATAACAATAATACTCTAGTTGAAGATCAGGAAATGATGAAGATGATGATGATGACTATAACGCCAATGCTCTAGTTGAAGATCAGGAAATGATGTAGATGATGTTGATGATTCGATGCCAATACTCTAGTTGAAGATCAGGAAATGATGAAAATGATGTTAATGATTTGATTTGATTTGATTTAAATTATTCAAAAAGTTCACGGAATTGAAATCCCAAAATGGCTTAAAATATTACCAGAAGTTGTAGATGAATACAATAACAAAATTCATTCATCTATAGGTGTCACACCAACACAAGCCTCAAATAATCCAAATAGTATAAAGTCAATTATCACACAAAATAACTACGAAAATGAAATAAATAATTTAAATATCAAACCCAAATTTAAAGTCGGAGATCGTGTTCGTATTTTCAAATATAAAAGCAAATTCGAAAAAGGCTACGTTGGATTGATAACAGATAAACGAAAAATAATAGGAGGAGGTATAGAGATTAAAGGGTTCCCTATTGTAAATATTGAACAATATCCATCTTTTTCTTTATCAGAAATGCACTTAATTTAATGTCTTAAAAATGGAACTCGAAAGTAGACAACAATATATGATAGACAAACAAAACGAGTTAAAAGTAAAACTAGAACAGTATAATAAATGTAAGAAAAGATGGATTAGAATTGATTCTGTTTTCAAAACACTGAGTGTAGTTCTAACAGTAGGAACAACAATTGCAACTGCTGTAACTGGTGGATTAATGGTTCCAATACTTATCCCAACTTTATTAGCAACAGCTACTGCTATTCAAACTTCATCTTGTGGGTTGATTGCTATAGGTTATACATCAAAACAGAAATCTTATTATAAAAAGAAAACAGAAATTTTAAATTCAAATCTTAATAAATTATTTATATTTTTCGAAAGATCAAGAGAAGATAAGAACATAACTATTGAAGAATTAGAAGAATTCAATGAAATTCTAGAAAAATTTTAGAGGGAAATATCAGTAATAAAAGTTAAAAAAAATACTTAAAAATAGATCATTAAAAAAAAGCATATATGAAAAATATGTATGAATCAATTGAAATTAATGATGATGAAACATTAATAGAAAACGTGTTATTTTCAAATATTATCAAGAATATTTCTGATAAATTTTTAACATTTAAAGGACAAATTGAAATAGATGGAGAGATGTTTCAAGATGGAAAGCACAAACAATTTATGAAACTTCTTGGTTTTAATGCCAAAACTTTTCATACTATCTTTAGAAATATGGAAGAAAAATCTGACCCTTCTGATTGGTACTTTACAGGAAGTATCTTATTACTTAAAGACAATTTTAAAGAAATTAAAAGATCATAAGTTGGAAGAGGAACTGAACTACTCAAAAAAATAAATGAATATATAGGTGAAAATTGTTACATACCACAGATAGTAACTGTTTTATCAAATGTGTAAACTATGTTTTAAACAAACATTTAACAAATGAATTTCAAAATTTCATCAATAGTTTCCCAAAAGCAAATAGAAAAGGAGTGATGATATCTGCTAGAATTAATGAATTCAATAAGAAATGTGATATTACATTTCAAATTTATACTCATAATAATAGAAATTTGCGCCCCACAATTGTAAAAGAGGAATTAGATTGGGTTTTATATTTGCACAACTCACATTTCTGTCTTATAAGAAGAAATAAAAAAAGTTTGGGTATTAAAGAAATAGAAGATAATTATGAACAAGTTTGGAAAACGTGTGGAGACGATAACGCAGTAACACAGGTTTCACCTCTGAAACAAAACGTGTTTTCAAGTATAAATGATGCTGGGTTATTTGCTTGGGATTTTGAAACGTATTCAGAAAGTGAAACGCGTAAAGCAATTCCTTATGCGTGTACGTTTATTAATTTAGAAAAACTCAGAAAAGTGTTAGAATAAATAATCTCTTTCCAGATTGAAATCCTACTGATAATGTTCCAGAAGAATTTTATGATAAACTAATGAATATAGTTGAAATATTGGTAGGTACAGATTGTATAGATCAAATGTTGAAACATTTAGGTGAATATGATAGAAAGAGATTAATATTAATTTCTCATAACGGTAGCAATTTTGATAACTGGATCGTGCTTAAAAAAAACTAACACAATGCCCTTTAAAAACAGCCAGAGGAATTCTATCTTTACCTTTATCTAATCCATACACAGATGAAGATTTACAGAAAAAATGGAAAAAACAGAAAGAAATAACAAGTAATAATAATTATTTACAACATATTAATTTCACATGTTCCTATCAACATGAAACATCTAGTTTAGCGGCATGGGGTAATTCATCTAATCTACCAATGAATTTGAGAAAGATCACTGATATCGATATTGCAAAATACACCAAAGATAACTGGGAATCTTTAAGACACGAATGGGAACCTTACGCTAAAAGAGATACGTTATGTCTTGGAAGTTGTTTGATAAAATATAACCAAGTCACGAAAGAAGTTGTAAACCAAAATATGTCCAATAATCTAACGGCTCCATCTTTATCTTTTAAGGGTTGGTATTATTTGTATCATTACGATAAAGAAATGGTTGAAGAAGAATGGTATGAAACTACTAGAATGGTTGCGAAACATACAGAAAAAGAAAATATAGAAAAAGTTTATTCGCACACTAATCCTTTTATAAGACATTATATCAGACGATCTATTAAAGGAGGAAGAGTTTCGGCAAATAGAAAAATATTTGAAACGAACAAAATGGATGAAATTTGTAATGTATTAAAGGAATTTATTTCACAAAGTGAAACACCAAGTGAAACTGAAAGTATTTCACAAAGTGATAATTCACAAAGTGAAACACCAAGTGAAACTGAAAGTATTTCACAAAGTGATAATTCACAAAGTGAAACACCAAGTGAAACTGAAAGTATTTCACAAAGTGAAACACCAAGTGATAATTCTCAAAGTGAAACACGAAGTGATAATTCAAGAAGAGATAACATAATTAATCTATTCAAAGAATACAGCGCCAGCACAAAAGACAAAACAGAAGTTAATTCAAAACTTAAAAAAATAAAATGTACTAAACTAATGGCATTTGATGCTAATGGTTTGTACGCTTCAGCAATGTCGGATTTAGACAGTGAATATCCAAAAGCGGAAAGTGCTAGACCGTTTCTACCAGAAGAAGAAAGAAAATTTTTAAAACTCTAAAATCTAAAATTTAGACCTAGAACAGCTATTTTAACAGTGTGGTTTAAATATCCCAAAAACATGTTCTTCCAACCAATACCAGCTAAAGATAATATCACTTTCACAAATAAAGAAGGAAAAAAGGAAACTGGGAGTAAAATCAGGTTTAGAAATGGTTTCTGTTCAGATGTTTTAACATCGGTCGATATTCAAGAAATAGTTAAAACCGGTGGACAAATTATTAGAATATTAGATGGTATAGTAATTTTAAGAGATCTTAGAAATAAATATAAACGAGAAGATAATATTGTGGGTAGTAATTGCTTGAAATTATTAGGCAATTCCTTGTATGGTAAATCTATTCAGAAGGATAGAAACACGAGAAATCATTTGTGGAATGAAGTAACTTTTCGGGCTAACTTCGACTCACATGTTAAAAACTATTAAAAAAATAAATGATACTCAATATTTCGTTGAGACAAAAATTGAAGAAAAAGAGATAACTGCTGAAGATCACTCAACTAAATCTACGGGACTAAGACCTAGTCATTTGGGATCATTCGTTTTATCTCACAGTAAAAAAATAATGAATAATTTCATTCATGTAATAAATGGATTTTATAAATCTGAAATATACTATACCGACACTGATAGTTTATACATTTCATCTAGAAATTGGGATAAATTAAATCGAGCTGAGTTGGTATCTGAAAATGAATATTGTAAAGGCAAGAATGATTATGGTGATGGTGGAATCATATTTGGTTTATATTTAGCGCCAAAAGTCAAATATAATATCATTCTAACTTCTGATGGTGTTTTAAAAGAAAAGAAAACGTTTAAGTGTAGGAGATTATATTCAGTTGGCTTGTGGACATGATGTGTCGAATGAATTTAATAAAAGATGGGAAAGGGGTTTCACGAATGGAGTAGTTATTCCAAAGGATGATGATAAACAAAAGAAAGTTTTTAGAAGTTATTTGAATCTTGTAAAGAGAAAACCACCAAACAGTGAAGGAATTATGTTTCCTTATAATGATAAAGAAGAGTATAGTTTTGATGAAAACTATGAATTTGATGATTTCGATTACTTATATATTCAAGAAGAGAATGAAGAGTGATTAATTACTCAATAAATTTAGTTCTTTTGTTTTAAATGAAGTTGAATTACAATTTCTTCGTTACCAAAATCAATAAACCCATTTTTACCATCTTTGATTTCCAGATTTATATTTTTAATCATGAACGAATTAAGTGGTAAATATGTTGTTTGAAATGGTTTCTCTATAATTCTATATCCAATCGGTACAGTGAATGTTGGAATACTGTAAATAATCTGACGTTTGTGTTTATTGAAAAATTCACCGTTTATTAAATTACAGTGAATATTAATGACGTTGATATCATTCTCTATATTAGCTTTATGCGGCGCTAAAGTGGATTGTGTGTATCTTTGCTTATCAAATCCTAATAAAGTATTCAAAGCATTTTCTACGTTGAAATCAACTTGACTCTTATTTCTCAATATCAATTTTATTTTGTTCAGATTCAAATTACCTTCGAATTCAATATTATTTTACCATTTGCACTTCCTACATATTCAGATAGATATTCGTTTATGGCAACGTATTCATAGCTTCCTGGTAGTAAACTTATGGTTTTGAATGTAGCTCCGTTATCTGTTGATATTTTCATTTGGATAATTTTATCAATTACGTTTTTATAATCATTTTTATCTATAATACCTTTCTCTAGGAATCTTTTTAATATGCAATTTACTTCATTATATTGTCTGTCTGAACGATGACCTTCTTTCATTGCTGCTAATATTATTTCTAATCTATTAAGTAGTTCCTCGTTGTTGTCGGATAAAAACGTTATACCTTGTCTACTGTTTTCTCTAGCTATCTCCTCTTCCAATTCGTCTATTTGTTGTGTGATTGGATTGTCTATATCTTGTATTATTGGATTGTCTTCAGCATATTCATCATCTTCATAAATAGCTTTTATATATAGATCAACTTCTTTTAATCTTCTTGTTTCGGGCCCCGTCTTTCTTATCATATGTAGAAATTCTGAGTATTCTACTAAGTCCTTGTAATCGGCAATATCAACATCCCTGCCATTCATTAAATCTATTAATCCTTCTGTTAATGTAAATATAAAGTCTTTTGTATCGATTTTGAATATTGGTGAATTTCCACTAAATCTTATTCTAAATCCATTAAACAATAACCCCTCTTCATCAACGATTGGTGAAATGCTCTTTGGTAAATCTGGCTTTGGATTTGAAAAATAACGTTTTATATCATCCAAAGTCCTAATTATAATACCATCATATTCAATCGGTTCGGGGTGATGAGGTTCTATATGAAGTGTTGGTTCTATAGGAGACTCGAGTCTCTTTTTAATATCTTCTTGACTTTTTAATATTGGTTGAAATAGAGTTTGTAGATTTTCTGTTAATCCAAGTTGTTGTCATCTGTTATTTTCAACTTGGGTGTTTATTTTATTCTTAGCTTTGATATATTGTCTATTTCTTTTTATAATATTATTCCAATCACCCATTTTTAAAGAAATAAAATTAATATATGTCTGTCATAACTCTTTCACCTGCAGGTTTTCTAGTATTAGTATTAGTATGATTTATCCATGATCATCTGGGTTTCTCCATTGTGCTTTACAATCCTTTTTGAATGTATCTCTATCCATTCCGTGATTAATTGACTGAATAATTTGAGATAAATCTTTGTCGTTCAATTCGAATAATAAAAAAACAATTTGCATTTTTTCGAGAAGATTGGGATTGGTATATGCAGTGACAGTTGTGATGTCTTCCCTTCGTGAAGAATTCTTGTTGAACGGCTTGATTTCTTTGTGCTACACAGTCGTCAAACACTATTAAGTTCTTTCTCTCACTATCAATTTTAGACAAATCTAAATCATTAACATTTTTCGTAAGAAAAACTTTTATATCCGTTGGATTGAAAGATGGATTCTTTTCTTTCATATATATATCTAAGATTTCTTTTATTTCTATCTCATCGTTGTCTTCATAATATTTAAATATGTCTTGAACGTCTTTCCCAGAACCTGAGCTTCCACAAATACACATAAGTATTGGGTTACTAGGAAATATTTCTGAATGATTAAATTCCTTTTACCATTGTATATTATTGTAGTTGGTGATTCCGTTTCGATAGCTTCTATTATTCTTTTTACTATAGTTTCTGGTTTCATTTTTGATAGGGTAATTTAAATGATTATTCTATACGAATCATCCGTCTGTCGGATATTTTTATTAAATGTTTTGCTTCTTCCAATAATAAACAATAACCGGTTACATCTCCTTGTGTTTTTTCAATATGAATATTTATGTTTACTCCTGTTTTGAAAAGATCTTCTTGATGATCAAAACAGAAGATTGGATGATTAAGTGCAAAATACTAGTACCGACTGGCCTACTGCAAAATTAGACAAAATGAATATTCGTATCAGAATCTCAGGCAGGACATAACATTAGAAATCACAGTCTTTCTGCCATCAACATTAAATCATCAACATCATCTTCATCATTTGCTGATCTTCAACTAGAGTATTGGCATTAAATCATCAACATCACTTCTTAATATATCGAGGACTTGCTGTCTTTCCTCCACATCCACTGCTTCCAGGATGATAGTAGCCGATTCAGCGAGGCTGGCCTGTGAAAAGTTATCCTGAAAAGTGTTCAGATCAACTTCCGGGCTCTGGCTGTTTGGATCAGGGACAGCACTTGGCCTAGCTCCTTCCAAAACCTCATCACTGGTGGCTGTAGAGGTGGACGTCTTCCTGGCGGAGGTGAATGCCACGGAATGCCCTCGTTTCACTTGGAGTAGGAAGCGAGGCGAAATTCCGAGGAGTTCAACTCCACAAAAGCTAACGGCACCATTCTTGAAGGGCAGCGAAATCCAGCTGGTGGTGGTATCGTCATCTTCCGGAGTAGCGAAGCCATCCATGCCTCTTGGATCCGATGTTAGGTCGGCGGATACGGAGGCAGTAAACCACAAAGTATGTTCCTGGTCAGAGAAAATAGTCTCAAAACCGCCCTGCTTAACTGCAACACCGTTCACACTGATATCCGGCACAGGCAACTCCGGCCTTTCAGGGTCATAGGCTTTAACTTTCTTGGTTGTTTGAGGCTGGTAATTCGGAACTAAACGGCTTTCGCAAACCAACGACGATGACCTGGCTCTCTTCCGGTAGGAGGGGTTAATGGAAGAGAACTCCCAACCAGTCTCCCAGTCCTGAGTTGTACGGCTTGGTTCTTTAATGGTCTTCATACACCTCCTCACCAGTTCCCTGACCTCCGTAGCAGCTTCTGCTTCTTCTTTCTGGCGGTTTTATTAGCTTGGCAAAGTCCTCAGGGTACATGGCTAACCAGAATCCATTGCCCTCTCCGAAGAAATCTTTTGGCATGTCTTCAAATTTTCTCGCATGCTCTTTCTTCACGTGATCTCTCAGCTCCGGTGTAGATCTTCTACATAGTCTTTCCCTAGAGCAAAAGGGACACATCACCCGCAAGCAACTATGGTCAGTGTTACCCATATGGTTCTTCCTGTCTCTTGCTGTCTGGAACACTTTGTTGCATTTCCAACATTCTACTGCTCGAAGGATTGAATCAGCCATTTCTGCAAGAAGAAGGACTTCCTTACAACGTGAACCATGTTTCCGTGTTTTAGTAATACCCTTACGTTCACAGTCCAGCGTCATGTTTTGTCTATCAGATGTCGATAACCCTAGGGCACCCAACACTATTTCTATTTGGTAATACCATTTGTCTCAGTTTTCTTTTTGTTTTCTATCTAAATTTAACTTCAATCATCCCTCTAGAAAATAATCCGAAAACCTCATATCTGTTGGTAAGCTTCCATCATACAGGAACTTACAAATTAAAACCTTTCACTGCCACCGGCAGCTACAAACTAAAGATAAGCGCACCGCTTTAGTGGGTCACAAACGAAGCCCCTGCTCTGTAAAACGGCAGATATGAAGGAAAGATTAGCTGTTCTCCAAAATAACAGCTAACTACGCTCCAACGCAGAATCATTGGTAATCACTGGTTGATCAGGCCACTCTTGATCCAATAAATCCACTGGACTTTGTTCCATTAATAATCCCCGCATTGCTATCCACAATTCTAGATATAGATTTCCGCGATTGATTTCCTACCTCGATGAATTCCGTGAATTTTTTTTTTTCGTTATCCCTAATTAATATCCCCCCATTGTTCACATCTGGTATATTGCTGTATCCAGTTATGTATTTCTCTTCCATTATATGGCGCAATTTTGTCAATGTGGTATACTCTTGGTTGTTGAGCCTTGCTTCTTTTCACTCGATATGTTAGATCATCAATAATCTTCGTTATTACAAAGGGACCCTTCCAAGGAGAAGTAAGGGCAGACACCCTTTTTACTGAAAGGTTCGTGTATCCAAACAAGCTGTCCAACAGCTAGGTATCTACGCCTAGCTTTTAAGTAATAGCGCCTTTTCTGGTACTTTGTCTTTTGTTTTAGATTTTTCCTTGCTAAGTCGTGGCTTTGTTTCAACTTTAACCTTCGTAATCTTGGAAACGTTGCTCTTTATGCGGCATGTCAATCACAGCTTGGATAGGTAGCACTATCTCTCTTCCCAGAGTCATCTTATTCGGGGATTGGTTGGTGGATGCCTGTACGGCAGATCTGTAAGCCATCATAACTTGTAGTATAAACTCGTCCCATCGTTTCTGATTTGTTTCACAATACATGGGTCAGCCAGGGTTCTGTGAAACCGCTCGACATTACCATTGGATTGTGGCCTCAAAAGAATTGTTCTTGTTTTGTCAATCTGACGGAAATCACACATCTGCTGGAAGACTTTCCACCCGAAATAACTCCCTCTGTCAGAATGTATTTGTAACGGGGTTCCAAATCTGCATACAAAGTTGTCTACAAATGCTTTTGTAACAGTAACATCTTCTTGATTTGGTAACGGTACAGTCTCTATCCATTTGGTAAACAATCGCAAATAGTCAAAACAAACTTATTGCCCGAAGTCGACTTTGAAAGTGGTTCAACAATGTCAATTTCTATTCGCTCGAATGGTTCTCCGACTATGTAATTACTCATTGGTGATTTCTTCTCCATTTGTGGTTTCCTAGCTGCACACTGCTGAAAGCCCTTACAATATTTTTGTGCTCCGTCTTTGATTCCTGACCAGTAAAACCCTTCTTAACACTTTCTGTAGTTTTGTTTACCCCAAGATATCCAGATGATGGTATGTCGTGACAATATTTAAGAACAGCGTCTCTCTTAAATTCAGGTACAATCAGTTTCAATCGGGTTGGATCATCGTCTTCTCCCTCCCAGTTCCTTTAAAGTAGACCGCCCACTAACTAATCTGTCCCATTGCGACCACAGAGTTTTTAACTGCGAACTGCCATGTGATACTTCTTCCCAGGTTGGTCTTATGTCTATGTCCTTAGCTGCGAGAAGTGGGTGTATGTCAGGATCTCGAAGCTGTTCCTGATGAATAACGTGTGGCTCCCAACCCAAAAGAGTACATTGCCTGTCTTTATATTCGGGGCTCTGGCTCTGGTAACTGCATTAATGGTGTGAGTGGGAAGATCGCCGGAATCAGTACATTCATCTATATTGACAATTTGAATATCTTCTTGGCGCTTACACGACTTACATGGATTGCGTATGCGTTACGATGTAAATGTCCAGGTCGATGAGATACTTGTAAGTTGTAGTTACCAATTACTTCTCACCACCTAGCTACTTGTCCATGGCATCCAGCTTACAGCAGCACTATCGGTTCGAACTTCTTGACCATACAAATAAGAGTGGAAATTTGTCAATGCAACAACTACAGCCAATAGCTCCTTTCTCGTCACGCAGTAGGGTTGTTTATGTATGTTCCATGACTTGCTCATGTAGGCTATAACCCTTTCTTTTCCGTATATTTCTTGAGAGAACTGACCCTAAGGCATAGTGACTGGCATCAGTATCAAGAGTGAATTTCAGTCCTGTCAAAAGCTTCTTCACATTCAGCATTCCATGCAAACTTGGTTTCTTTGTCACAAATGCGATGTAGTGGTTTAGCTATCTCAGCGAATCCTTGAACAAATTTTCTGTTGTATGAGGCTAATCCCAGGACACTCTTCACTTGTTTAGCAGATGTTGGAGTGCTCCAATTCTTTACAGCAGTTATTTTGTCTGGATCAGTTTCAATTACTTCTTCTGAAACAACATGTCCAAGAAATTTGACGCTGTGGTGGAATAAGGTACATTTAGATGGTTTCAGCTTTAAGTTCGCATCACCCAGTCGCTGGAATACATGTTCTAATCGTAGCATGGTCTCTAGAAACGAACTTCCAGGTAAAATGATATCGTCCATATACAGCAAACATTCTTCCCATTTTAGACCTCTCAAGACATCTTCCATTAATCTCTCAAATGTTGATGGGGAATTCGATAGCCCGAATGGCATGACAGTGAAATGGTACAGACCTTGACCAGTTGAAAATGCCGTTTTCTGTTTGTCAGAAGGTTCCATTCCAATTTGCCAAAAACCCGAAAACATATCATTATCAAGGCAACAGAACCAAGACATGCCGTGTAATGAGTCGAGACAATGGGTAGGCATCTTTTATAGTGACATCATTGAGTTCCCGGTAGTCCGCGCAAAATCGGTAGCTGGAATCTTTTTTCTTGACTAGTACTATATTAGAACTCCATGGACTACTGGATGGTTCGATGACCTGTCTGTTCAACATTTTCTATCTCTTACCGTTCAGATTGTCTCTTTCAAAGGGGTAACCTCCTGCATGGCTGCCTGATTGGGGCTGCATTAGCTGTATTGATCCGATGTTGAACTTTATCTGTCCTACCCAGATCGTTCGATGACTTAGAGAAAACATCCTGATACTTGCGTAAGAGCGTAGCCAGTTGGACTTGCTGATCTGAATTTAACTGCTGGATACTTCGACTGTAGAGGTCTTTCAAGTGATCAGGAACTACAAGATTTTCTTCACTGTCTCCTTTACTAATGAGTCGACAACTTACAGTTACCTTTGTTGGTTCAACGTAAACTGCTTCACAGATGGCTAATCTGGAGTTTGAGTACATACAGCGTTACTGGTTCGTCCTGATAATTTATGACTTGTACGGGCTTTGAGTTAGCATCCATGTTTATTATACCTGGCGTGATCGCGAGTCTGTTTCCCCAATGTGGTGATGTCTCTAACAGTCCAATTTTACTGCAATTCTTCGTAAAGGGAGTAGGTATTTTTATACGCCCACATGAATATGTGGTCGTATATTGACGTCGCCCCTGTCCGTCGGTCCGTCCGCCAACATTTCTTGTGAGCACTATAGAGACTACAGTTTTCATCTGATTTTGATAAAACTTAGTGTGATGCTTTAGATTTATAAGATCTCGGTCAAGTTCGAATTTGAAATATTTTCGTTGAACGGTTTTTGAGATATTGCCCTTGACTTAGAACGCCTTGAAATTTGTTTTATCAAAGGCTCAAGTTATTTTCATTATGCTCCCCAACTACAACAACCACTGGCAAGAAGCCAGACATAGAAACACTAATCGTCAACCAAACCAATATCACGTACCCTACAACGGCCCTGTCTTCCGACCTCTACCAACCAACCCATCCAGCTATATCCCACCCCATCGCCGACCTACCTACAACACCTACCATTCAAGAGGTAACCATCGACCTGACCAACAACAGAAACGACTACCAGCCCACCGACGCCAACCAGTCCCCACTCATAAGGAGGAAGAACCCTTTGTGAAGGTGTTCTTCCAAGTTTTGCAGTGCCTTCATCATTTGGCAATCCTTACCCTTCAACAGCAAGACCAACCAGCGTTTGAGTTGGATAGTTTTATCCATCCAGCAATGAAAACATCAGCTATTGACGCGAATATTAGATCCCTCAATCGGACATGGCTCTCTAAGGTTACGCAGGTCCTGATCGACCATTACCAAACCACACTTCAAGAGAAGCTGACCACCATTCGTACCAAGTCTTTATCATCAGCTGCCGTCGACTGCATCGTTTCTCATGCCCTGTCCTGGGAAACGTCTCACTCAAGCTGTAATCACCAAGTTCTACCAAACAATCAACGAAACAAAAACCAGAGTAACCATATCTCTGCCAACTGAAATGGACACTACACCTGCACCATCTAGAGCCACGACGCTGCCAAACCAAACCCCTAAACGAGCCCGAAGTTCACCTACTCCTAGTCCAGCAGACATAGGTAAACGCTCTCGTAGAGAGGGCACTCCCCTTCTCTTTTCACTTTCAGACTCGTCTTCCCCTTCCACACCATCTGAATCTTCACCACGTGATCCAGGATCTGCCTTTCTTCCTTCTGTGCGTTTTTGGACCAGCAAACCACCCCTCAGTCTCCATCGAAGTCGAGGCGTATATCCAGACCTTCCCCCCTCGAACCAGATCCCAGTCCGTTCCCAATGCTACAATTCTAACAACTACCAAACCAGTACCAATCACACCGTCGACGACCATTATATCCGCTACCAAACCGTATTATCACCAAACCAAGGACAAATCATTATGGAAGCTACCCGCTCTAAAGAAATCTACCTTAATTATTGGATCATCTAACCTGAATCGAATTACCAAAACCAGTTCAGACACTGAAATACATTCTTACCCCGGTGCCCAAATCCATCGCATACAGTCAATCCTGGAATCATACGACCATGATCCCTAACCTACTACCATTATTCTTCATGTAGGCCTCAACAACCGTGATCAGCTACCAAAGACCTCCTTTAACCAAGCCCAGAAATTAATTGCCACAGCCAACAAAACCTTCCCAAACTCCAAGATCCTCTTCACATGTATACCCATTTCAAATAAAATCTCGAAGAAAGCACAACAGAACCTCAGCACTCTCAACAACATGATGATGGAGTCTAGTATCAACAGCGCAACAATCTTACCACCCTACGAAGAAGAATTCGAACCAGTTGATAATCTTCATTGGTCTCCAGAAACAGCATTTATTTGTTTTGGATACACCAGCTTCAAGCATCGAGTAAGTCTTTAAACTAATTACTGGGGATAAAAATACTGAGAGGCCACCGCTAGGCCAAACTGTAGTTAACTTGGGCCGCAAAATTCTCACACCCCTTCAGCATTCAATCTTAGACCGTGGACTTAAATTTATTCCCACACCAAAGATAGCTAACTTGAATTATCTCCGACCATCCATTGAACATTTCAACGAAATCTTAGCTGCACATATTTTTTTCGAAACCACCCCCACGTGGTGCTAGAACAATGTTTATTCCTAAATCCACGTGTACACCCCCTCAGGCCGCCATCCATCCTGAAATATTGAAAGCATTTGCGAGTATGAATAGCCAAACAGTGAACCTTTCCATAACACACGAAAAGCCTAATCTCACACGAGTGGAACGTGAAGCGTTAAACTTACTTAAGAAAGACGATAGCATTGTTATTAAAAAAGAGTGACAAAGGTTCATGTTGTGTCATTCTGAATAGGGAGGATTACGTTTCAGAAGCAGAGAATCAACTGAATAATCCTAAACATTATGCCATTTTACCGAAACCAATTTTCAAAGAAACTGCTAACATGATTAACAATATTCTTGCCGATTTAGTCAAAACTAGTTATCTCAAACAGAAACAATATGACTATCTGTCTGCCAAACCTGATTGTCGCGAGAGACATTTGTACCCTTTGCCTAAAATCCATCAGAATCCAACCAAGGAGTGGTTTATCTCGAATAAAATCCCTAAAGGCCGCCCGATTATATCTGACTGTGGTAGTAAGTCATATGCAGTGTCAGAATACATTGATCATTTCTTACTACCTCTAGCATGTCAACATCGCGCCTACCTTAAAGACACAACCGATTTTGTCAATAAAATAAAAAATCTTCGAGTTCCCTCTAATGCTATTTTAATTTCTATCGACGTTTCTTCTATGTTTACCAATATCGATAACACTACTGGTTTAACGGCAGGTCGTAAAGCTTTTAATAGAAACCCAGATCCAAACAGACCCGACGATGCAATTCTACAGCTTTTAGAGATTTGTCTTAGGCGAAACGATTTCACATCACAAACTGGCACTAAAATCAGATTCAGAAATGGTTTCTGTCACGACGTTTTAACATCGGTCGATATTCAAGAAATAGTGAAAGCCGGTGGACGAATTATTAAAATATTAGATGGTATAGTTTACGAAGAAAATTTTAAAACTCCACCCTATAGAGATTATATTTTAATTTTGAGAGATCTAAGAAATAAATATAAACGAGAAGGTAATATCGTAGGTAGTAATTGCCTAAATTATTATTGTATGGTAAATCTATTCAGAAGGATATAAATACATCGAGACATTTATGGAATGAAGCGACTTTAAACGCCAACTTCGATTAAAACGTTTAAGGGTTACTCTAAAGATAAGATATCCGTAGACGATTATATTCGATTAGCTAGTGGACTCGATGTAACGAATGAATTTAAGAAACCTTGGGTAAAAAGTTTCACCAATGGAGTAGTTATTCCAAAGGATGATGATAAACAAAAGAAAGTTTTTAGAAGTTATCTAAATTTTGTTAAGAGAAAAGCACCAAACAGTGAAGGAATCATGTATCCTTACAACGACGGAAAAGAATTTAACGATTACCTTACTATTCAAGAAGAGAATGAAGAGTGTTAATTACATCCCGTAAAAAGATTGGGATTGGTATATGCAGTGACAGTTGTGATGTCTTCCCTTCGTGAAGAATTCTTGTTGAACAGCTTGATTTCTTTGCGCAACGCAGTCGTCAAACAATATTAAGTTCTTTCGTTTGCTATCAATATTAGACAAGTCTAGGTCATTAACATTTTTCGTAAGAAAAACTTTTATATCCGTTGGTTTCTTTCCTTCGATGTAGTTATCTATAATATCTTTTATTTCCACTTCTTCTTCGTTTTCTTCGTAATATTGAAATAGGTCTTGAGCATCTTTCTTTGGTAGATATTCTAAAGGTTTGAGAAATTGATAATACGATTGCTCTGGTGTTGTTGTGTAGATATATAAAGAATCGAAATCTAAAAGGTTTGGTGTTGTCAACATGTTGTTAACATGAGATGAGTTTTCCCAGAACCGGAACTACCGCATATACACATAAGCATAGGGTTATTAGGAAATATTTCTGAATGATTAAATTTTTTGCCCATTTTTTATCATTTTAATTTGTTCCAAAAATAAATCCTTCTCCTTTATACTTTGAAAGAAATATGCCTTCTCCAGTGTGTATATTTTTAAAAATATTCCATTACCCTTATGTTTGACTTTGACTTCTCCCGTGTCAATACTATCTGCTAAATAATTTAATCCTTGTTTAACAGTTTTCTTGGTTTCTTCCCCAAATCTTTTTCCAAATTCTTTTATTGTGCCTATCATTTCTCCCACTCCTGAACCTTTGGCCAACTTTTCCATTTTTAAATTATGTCTATATCTTACTGCAGCAGATATCCCACCAGTTGCTACACCCGCCGCGGTTATACCAGCAAATATTAAAGGAAGGAGAGGTAAAAATCCACCTTCTTTTGCGTTCGCGTCAATTCTTTCTAAGTCTATATCGTCTCTGACTTTACAATATTTATATTTATCAATAAGTTTTTTAGTTATGTTGATTTTTTTACCATTGCAAGTTATTGTAGTTGGAGATTCCTTTTCGATAGCTTCTATTATTTTCTTGACTAAAGTTTCTACTTTCATTTTTAAGGGTGTATTTTTTACTCAAGTCTTATCATTCTTCTATCTGCTATTTTAATTAAATGTTTTGCTTCTTCCAATAATAAACAATAACCTGTTACATCTCCTTGTGTTTTTTCAATATGAAAATTTATGTTGACTCCTGTTTTGAAAAGATCTTCTTGGTGAGCTGATAGATCAAAACAGTGCAAAATCTACATATTCAAACTGAGGTGGATTTCCAAATAATTCACACGTTTTTATAGTTTCTATACAATTCATTATAATCCTTTGTGGTTGGATTAATTGTTAAAGGTTGGTTAGGATAATTATCGTTGTTTAATCTTACTTGAACTTTATGGATTAAAGGATCTTGAGTTTGGTTCATTGCCACTCTAAAGACATTATTGTTATTCGTTTGAGAATCTGATGAGTTCTTGAAACCAACTATTAAAAATCTTGCTGGTTTAATAGTGTTAGTGATTGTCCAGGTGGTGGATTCTCCCGTTAAAGTCATGCTATCTACCGTGTTACGATGAAGAAAAGCTATTTCAATATCTTTAGTTAACGAGTTGAATATTCTCGTTTCTACTTCAATTGATGGTGTTATTACGGGTATGAAAAGTTGGAGATTCGTTATTTCTAATTTTGCATCTGAACCATTCTCTCCAAAGAATATCTTATCGTCGTTGATTTCTCTTTGTAGATGAATTTATATGGTAACCCTATGGAAACTTTTCTGTGTTCCAACAGACCGAATAAAGGATATAATTTCCAATTTATGTGATTACCCCACCTATTATTCTCAACAACATTATTATACTGAAGTACTCGTTTTTCGAATCCATGATTAGCTGCTCGTGCTACTCTTTCTATTGTGTTTCGAGCAACAACTCTCACTCTAGCTAAATCAGCATCATTTGAAAGATTTGTTACCGGTTCTTTTAAAACACTTCCATCGCCAACATCGGGTATCCAACCCGAGACTAAATCGAAATCTTTAGGATATAAAACTGTTTTCAACATTGTTTCGAATTCCCCAGAATGTTTGATTGTTTCCAAAACCATCTCGCTAAATAAAGATGGAAAGAGTTCCATCTTTAATTTTGAAATCGCATCTGAAATAAGCATCTGAAAGAAGCAACCAATTCGATAATGAATCTATTTCGAAGGTAATTCTACCACCTTCATTCAATTGGGATTTAGAACCAACAGTAGGTGAGATGATAATATATTCCTCTTTTTTCTTGTTAAACGAATAACGAATCGGATCGTATAATCTAAAGATTGGATCTAGTATTTTATTTGCCATTTTAAGGTTTAAAATTTGAGTAGAAAATTGTTTTTTCCAAAACAAGAGTTATCTCCCTTTCTACATTATTTTAATATGTTTTTTTTTGATGGAATGTAGGAAATTGATTGAAGGTGTTTTTTTGGTGTAAGAAATGTAGGGAATTTAGGTCTTTTTTAAGTGTAAGAATTTATGAATTGTAGGATGTTTTGCTGTAAGAATTTATGAAATGTAGGGAATTTAGGTCTTGTTTTTGGGAGCTCATAGATTGGTTGCATTTTTCCCATGAAATGAAATGGAATGTGGAAAAATGCGACCAATCTATGAGCTCATATACTACTAACATTTGCCGGAACTCACTTTACTTACAATACTTCAACTCATTCGTCAACCGGGTTTACTCATTATTTTTGATGTTTGGTCGAAATCCAGTTTTACCTATTAACATATTACTTGGAGAATCTGATAATTTTAATGAATCGTGGGTATCTGAACATCAGAAGAAACTTCAACTATTATACTCTAAAGCTTATGATTCCATGTTAAATGCTGCTGAAGATAGAAATGAGTTGGATTCTAAATCTTTAGATGCTCCTTTATTACCTGGTCAGTTAGTTTTTTGTAAGTCTAGAGGTTTTCTAGGTAGGAATAAAATACAGGACTATTAGTCACCAATTGTGTATTCCGTTGTAGAAAGGGTTAGTGAGGTTCAGTTCAGGGTTATGTTATCAGCCCTGTTGATGACTCTCGTTTTACTAAAAGTTTACATAGGTCAGAGTTGAAATTGTTTCAGATCTTGGTCAAGCAAAGGATGTGATTGAACTTGATGAATCGGTACAAAATGATGTTGATACTGTTGATTGTGTTCATGGTGATAATGATCATCAGAATACAGATTTTCAAACGAATGATTTCCCAGTTGTTTGTTAGTTATGATGATTTAAACTGGACCAGTGAATTACCTGTAATTGATTCATCGCCTGAAGAGTTATCTGATCAAGTACCACTATCAACTCATACAATACCATCTGCTGATAACATTTGTAGATCAACAAGATCAACAAAAGGACACCATTCTAATATTCATAAATTGCCCACTAGTACTATTTCAAAAACAATATCTGTTGATTATTCAGATATGATGTTAAAAGTTACAAATTCATTAGTTAGTAATGCTATTCGAGAACTAGGTGTCTTATTTAAACCTGAAAACTAAAAATCTAACCTAAGCCATTGGTATTGACATTTTAATTTGTATTTTTGTCATATTTTTTGTTTTGTTTTTTTCTTTCTTTCCTTTTTTTTCTTTCTAAAATGCAAGGGTGCATTAATTTAAAGTTGGGGAGAATGTAACATAGTGACCCAATACAGTCTCTTTAAGTCATTAGCAATGTTATAACATTGTTGTTGATGTATTACACAAGATCTATTTTTAGAACTGCTGAGTTCAGAGATAGGGGGACTAGTCTTGGGAACACCTGCGTGAGTGGAGTATTGAATTGGAGGAACCGAGAGAAAGGTCGCAGTACATCACTGTGCTTTCCTTGTCCGATTTTCCAATTCTGGATGTTTTAACTGTGATTTAGTTAATTGTGCCCCAAAATTTGACTTGTTTCTGTGTGGAGTCAGGAGGCCACCAAAGCGGACTCGCTAACAATATATTAAAAAGATAATAAGGAATTAGATAAAACGTCTTCATTTTATAAGTATAAAGCCATTGTTCTTGGACCTAATAGACAGAGTGAGACTGGATAACGTTGCTAAGCCCTCACCCCAATGGAAAACCTTATAAAATCTGGATTTTGACTAGCTTTCAGAGGAGTAACACTGATAGAAGAATGAATTTTATTATCGTATTCCCATACTACAGTTGGTAAAATCTTTAACCATATTTGAGACTTTTATTACTAATATTAGCATATTTACAACATTTCTAATACAAAGATTTCTAATAGTAATTGTAATAATATAAGTACGAGTAAAAATAATAATAAAAATATAAATAAGAATAATAATTTAAATAAAGATAATGATATTTATCTGTTTAATTTCATCAATAGTAAATTACAAAAAATATTGCAGGCCAGACCATCTTTCCATGTGTCTTTCAAGTTTATCGTCATTCATCGCTGTTTGTTTTTCATTTTCTTCAAGTTGTTTAAGTCTCTCATTGAAATGTAAGAGGTTGGGAGTGTGCCCCTTGAATTTACATTTATGAATATACAGTTTTGCATATAAAATTATGAAATCTATTAATTCCTTATATTTTCCGCATATTGAATAATTTAAGATAATTGTTTTCAACGATACAATGGCGTCGAGATATCATTTAATTTTTTAAGAAGGTCATTCCAAAAAGGTTGTAAATCATTACATTCAAACAAGAAGTGTTCTATAGAATCATATTGATCACATGCATCACAGTTAGGCGATTTTTTATATTTGATTCTATGTAAATACGAGTTGGTTGCTATTAGTTTATACATAATTTTAAATTGGAAATGTCTTACTTTTGGATCATTTGTAAGTTTGAATGTGTATTTTTATGCTTTTAGGTTATTATTACGAAAATTAGTCCATTTACCTAAAGGTGAATCAATGTTTTTCGATTTTCTATTTCGATTTCTATATATGACTCATGATTTATTTTGAACTATACTTGTTGAGTCTTTTCTAACATGACATGTTTTTATTTTTGCTATTAATCCATATAACTTAGTAAATTCTGTTTTTAGGCTTGTTTTAGTTATAAATTTTCGAAATTCAAATATTGGCTGTTTTCATCTAGTAAATCATAAACTTGGTTGATACCTTTTTTTTCCATGGTTTATAAAATATCATATTATTGTTTATTTTGATTTTTGAATTGAACCATAAGGGGCTGTTGTTGTAGACATTTGTATCATAATTTATTTCGGACCATGCCAGTAACACTTCCTTCAGAAATTCATTTTTCATATTTATTGATAAAATATCTTTTGTATTTAAGTTTAAACTAAATAGATTCATATCTGGATCAAGTTTTAAGAATTTCAACTATTTCATTTTTCCAAATTGGGCAACTTTTTGGTTCAAGAAATCTTTTAACCCAAGCTATTTTAATTGATTTTGTATATGACCATATATCTGGTGCATTTAGTCCACCACACTCTATCGGAGAGCACAGCTGTTCGCGCTTTACTTTTGCGGGTTTATTTTCCCAAATAAATTATCAATCTCCTTTAGTGTGGATTCCGATGGGGTTGGGAGACATGACATTTGGTATAGCAGTTTTGGCAATGCCAGTGTTCGTATTATCGAAATTCGTCCAATAATAGTTTTCAATTTTCCCTGCCAGAATTTTAATAGCGCACTTATATTTTTAATTCGGGTATCATAGTTTAGTTTATGTAATTGTGTTAAATTGTTGGAAATTGGTATGTGAATACCTAGAATGTAAATAGTATCGGTTGTCAGTTTAATATTTAATGGAACGGTGAACGACAGTCCAGATTTTCGTAACAAACCTATGGGCGCTATCTCACATTTTTCATAATTCGCTTTTAGACCAATTGTTTCTTTAAAATCCTTCAGGACTAAAGATTTATACGTTCCGTCGAGAAACAGAGTCGTATCATCGGCAAACTGGAAATTTTACGGTTAAGATTTTGTATTTTGGGAGGTTTTATATTTGTGTTACTACGAATTGCTATCGCAAATATTTCTGCACACATTAAAAAAATGTATGGGGAAAGTGGACACCCTTGTCTGACTCCACGGTGAATGTTAAGCATTGATGTTGGATGGCCATTGTTCAATATACTACTAGTTATATTATTGTAAAATGTTTTTATCCATTTTTTAATGGAGGGGCCGCTATTAAAAAGTTCCAGCGTCTTATCAATAAATTTCCATTCAAGTGTATCGAAAGCTTTTTCATAATCAATTTGAAATATCATACCTTCTTCTTGTTTGTCTTCTAAATATTCAATCACATCTAAACATGTCCAAAATTTTTGACCATTAATGCGACCGTGTATAAAACGAGACTGATCACTGTTAATTATATGTAAAAGTACATTTTTAAGTCGAGATGCAATTACTTTTGTCATTAACTTGTAATCGGTATTAAGTAGACTGATTGTTCTCCAATTCTTCAATAACCTACAGTCTTTGTCCTTTTTTGGTAATAGTGTAATTACTCCATGGCGTTGGGTAAAACTAGTTTGTTCGTTAATATATGCATGATAGAATGAATTTAATACTAATTTATTGATGGCATTCCAGAATATTTTATAGAATTCACATGGCAGACCGTCACTTCCTGAGGTTTTCCCATTCTTAAAAGTTTTTAAAATTCTAAATCAGATATTTGACCTTCACACAACTTTTGTTCTTCGAAATCTAAAAAGGGATAGTCATGTGCACCGTTAAAAAACACTTCTAACTTCTTTGAATATTCGTTATTAATGATAATATTGGATGAATATAAAGTGTTATAATACTTTGAAATTTCTTTCAGAATCTCGTCTTTGTTTTCAATTAGATTGTGTTCTGAATCATACAATGAAGAGATTACCCTTTTGGCTGAATTTTGTTTTTCTAAGTTCGAAAAAAAACTACTGCTGCCTTCGCCACATGTTAATCCTTTCAATTTTGCTCTCAGTATTACACCCTTCAATTTGTTTTCATTTATATTATAAATGTCTTGCTTATTTGTTCGTCAATTCTAGAAGAGGGTGGGTTGGTATTACTCAAATTTTCTAATTTTTGTTCTAATTCTTTCAAGTTTTTTAAATCTTGCTTCTTTTTATTTGTCGCATATTTAATGGTTTCTCCGCGAATGTCCATTTTCACTAAATCCCATAATATCTGCGGATCACAATCAACGTGATACTCTTGACTATTTTTTATTGTGGCTTTTAACAGATCGAAGTAGTTCTGGTCCAAAAGTAGTGATGTATTTAATTTAAAGATACCACGACCTCTAGTGTTTTGAGCAATTTGAAGTGAGATGGTAATCAATGAATGATCGGTTTTAAACCCATATGTTATGTCAGTATGTTGACATTTCGTTGTGAAGTCAAATGAAATTAAAAAGTAGTCCAACCGACAGTATATAGACGGTTTTTGACGTTTCCATGTGAATTTTTTTTATATTTTGATTTTGCACTCTCCAAATATCTACGAGATCCAAAGTCTCCATGTACTTTTGAATAACGAAATAAGCATTATTAAAGGTAGCAGGACGTCCGCCATATTTATCTAAATTAACATCAAATGGCATATTAAAATCCCCACCCATTATAACAGGCCAATCCCCATGTTCTGATAAAATCTTGAATGAATTTTCGAAAAAGTCAGGTTGGTCTTTGTTTGGACCGTATACATTACATAAAAGTATTTTATAGTTTTGGAAGTAAAGTTTAAGAATTAAGTACCTGCCATTACCGTTTTCTATTATTTCTATATTCTGAACATCTATATTATTTTTGATTAAAACACCTACACCACAGCTTACTGAGTTTTTGTTGGAAAATATAATTTTATGTCCCAATTCTGATGCCCATTTGGTTTCGATTTCTGCTGTAAAATGTGTTTCTTGCAACAGGATAATGTTGTGTTTTCTATCTTTTAACCATTGAAATAATTGGAGACGTTTCGAGTTATCCCGCAAACCCCTTACATTTAGAGATGTTATTTCAATTTTAAATGTATTAATGTTTTTGAATCAAGACACATAGGAGGATAAAAATTGGTCCGCATATGAAAAGGAGAAACATGTTAAAAAGATTAAATAATTAATGTAAGCATAAAAACAAAAGCGTACTGAATAACGACTTGAATATTGATCAAGTCACTCTATGCAAAAATATAAACATGTATACCCATAGTTTCTGAGACAGTTGTTTTTCAGACAAGGCAGACCATATTGTCCTAGTATATCAATACCTTAACAAAATAGACTATATTATCTTAGTATACTACTACCTAAACATAGCCTACTATAATTATCTTGGTATACTACTGCTTAAACAAAGCAGATTATATCATCTTGGTATATTATTACTTAAATAAAGCAGTCCATATTGCCATAGTATATCAATACCTTAACAAAGCAGACCATGTTATCTTGGTATACTGCTACTTAAAACAAAGCAGAATATATTATCATGGTATTACTTTCAAGAAAACGGATCATATTATCATAGCACACTACTATTTTAGAGATTTGTCTTAGTCGAAACGATTTCACATTTAATGGTAAAACATATTTACAACCTTCAGGGACAGCAATGGGCAAACGATTCGCCCCTTCGTACGCAAACCTTTTCATGGCAGAGTGGGAACGTGAGGTGTTGCCCCTCTGTCCATTTGACCCACTTTTTACTGACGCTTTTTGGATGACATTTTTATGGTTTGGACTTAATCTATCGAACAGTTTTGGGAATTCTTTGAAATTCTCAACAACCACCATCCTTCTATCAAACTAACCGCAAACGTGAGTGACAAAAGCATAGACTTTCTCGATACCACAGTCTTTAAGGGAGATTCCATAGCAGAAACAAATTAACTGGATATTAAAGTGTATTTCAAAGAAACTGATACTCATCAACTCTTGCACAAGAGCTCCTTTCACCCAAAACATACCTTTTCTGGTACAAGTTTTACGATTTCATCGAATTTGTACAAGATCTTCTGATTTCAACCAAGCCTGTACGATTGTTTTCTCAAAACTGAAAGAGCGTGGGTACTCTAAACGATCTTTACGAAACAAAAAATTCCACCTTAGCACAGATAGCAGCTAAAAACAGACTTTATGCCGAAGTACCTCCAGGTTTAAGAAGTGCTCCATGTTTGTCCAGTAGATGCAAAACATGTCCCTTTATATCAGAAACTCATTATATTGTAAGCAACTCTACGAATAAAAGGTACCCGATCCAGGAACATCTAACATGTGAACATTCGAATGTAATATATTTAATTTCATGCAAGAAATGCCCCAAACAATA